CCGCTACAAGGCAGCTGTAATTTTTTTCTGCTGTGTTAGCAAAACACATACACTAGTGCTTCTATACGCGATGTTTGACCTCAAACTGCCGGTTTATCAATGGAGGAAAAGGGGAACCGAGAACTTCTGAGAGCTGCATAACATTTACCAGGCCTGTGCATACCACCACAAGCCGATGACAAGCTCTCCAAGAGACTGTCTGGTCGGTATTAGCCCTCGGTTTGACAAACAGCGGGGTGTATTCAAGCTTTAACATGCAGTCACGTTATGAGCTGTGAAAGTCCAGTATTCAAAGTGTTATTTAAGTCAAATTTAGAAAGTATTAGCATCACAATAAAGTTCCAAAAGTAAGAGTAAGCTATGCAGAATGGTACATTTCACAGTAATGTAGACTATATCATATTACTGGATTATCATTATTTATGAATTATTGTGTTTATCACTTTAATGTTTCAGCTGGTAAAGGCGGAGCTACCTTTGAATTACTGCTGGGTAGCTTGTGAATTTCCCACTGAGGATCAATGAAGTCTTATGATTATACAGTAGTTTGTTTGATTATTCAGATTATGAAAAGTAAGGAAAGCTATCTAATGCATGTAGTGGAGTAAAAAGTGCTACATTTGCTTCTGAAAGGTAGTGAAGTCTGTGTGAAATCTACATTTCTGGGAATAAATAATCAATTAACCAATAAATCAGTTAATTAATGAGTGAAACTATAGGAAACTGTCTGAAATAAAGACAAAATACTGCTGCAAAATATTCTATTGTTTATAGATGACATACACCAGAGAAATCATACAATGATGGAAAATTTAAGCGCAGACACTGAAGATGCTTAGGAAGGGATTGCAAATAAATCTGATTTGTTCTTGTCTGTTTCTAATAATGATATAACAATAGACTAAAACTACTTTACTTTTAATAAAGTGCTCGAGCCTTCACACAGAAACAGAGGTGTACTTGTCTGTTTCTGTGCTGCAGTCATCTAGGAACTACTCTTAACCAACTTAAGAGACTGCTGGAGTTCTCCTAAATTTAAGTCACCTATCAGCTATATATCACACTTAAGCAGTTTGATATATAGCTTTTAGTCATAACTTTTAAAAATGGGCTTTGATAAATATGGGCCCAGCGTCACAGTAACCTACTAACACTTTGTTTGGTTTGTGCACTGCTTTTGGTTTGTTGTTGTCTCTATTGGACTTCTTATGTGTATGTTTCATGCTGATTTTCTCTCTTGTATATCTGGACAAGGGTGTATGTATGTGTTAGCTGTCTTATGACAAACTATACCTGTTTTGTTTTGTTATGACAGATAAAGTGTGTCTGATACAAAAACTGGGATAGTGACTGTAAATAACAGAGCTAGTTGTAGGATTCATTGAATAACAGGAAGTCGTCTGATGGGTTGGGCATGTGACCAAACGGTTGCATAATCAGTAGTATTAATGGCAAGCACTGACTCTGTTAACATGTGTGTCCAGTGATGTATAACCTCCTGTTTTCAGGATACGGGAGTTGGGAAATCAAGTATTGTTTGCCGGTTTGTTCAGGATCACTTTGACCACAACATTAGTCCAACAATAGGGTAAGAGCATCTCAGTACACATCATCAAACATCAGGAAACAAATTAATTACATAGGTTCACATACTGTCCCAAAATCAGACAGTGAAGTTTGACATCAAATGAAGCCCAAAGTCCAAAACTCTGCTCTCAACTGTGTGTAATGTCAACTTAAGTGAACTGTTTGAGTGTAAACAGAGGCGTCATCTGTACTCATGGTTAAGCCAGTGGACAAGCTGATACTAATAATACTGATTATAGGCTTTAGAAATATTTGTCAGTTTTAAATGCTACACCCAGAGCCATTTATGAGCTGAGCAGTTTGATAAATCTAATGTCAAAGTACCTCATCTTACAAGACACTAACTAAAAGTCATCTACATATTCATAGAGAGTAAATAATGAATAGTTTTTTTGTCTAATTATAACTGACTATTAAAGTGAGTACACATGTACAGTATACCTTAAAACCCCATGGGTAAACACTAAATAGACTGCTGTCTGGCTTGTATGGAGCAGCATTATGCAAAAAGTAAACATATATTAAATGCTATTTAATATACTGCAAATTAGACAAATCCCACACTGTAATCCTGAGTGTGTTTAAGCTATAGTTTAATTATTCTAATTTAAAATGTGACATCTGGACTCATGCAACATGAGATAAACTGAGATGGATTTATAAAAGTTAGGTTTGCTTTGACACGATGAGAAAAAAGAAGTCATATCTAAACAAATGTTTAAGCCCACTCTCATCACTGATTCAATTGTGTTGACTCTTTTTTTGTTTGGTGATTGTTTTACATTCCTCTGACCCACAGGCAACATGGACTGAGAGTCA